GGGTCGGAGCTGCTACTGAAAAGGCTCTCCTCCGCGTAGTAGCCAGCCGGCACTGGCTGGCAGATGGCACTCGGAGGAGGCCTAATCTGTGTGATCTAATAGGTCGTGAGGAGGTAATTGGCAGGAGGCGGTCTCTCAAGTACCCAGATCCACTACCATGAAGGGCTTTGTGGGTGGTAAGAAGCACCTTGAAGCGCACACGGAGATCAGGAAGGAAGGTCCAGTTGCCTTTTGAAAAAGGAACTTTGGGGCAACCATGTCCTGGATGATTGAGAATCTCCATAGACGTTTGTTTGCTTTTAGGTTAAAATACTTGGAAAAAATGGTTAGGATAAGTAATCAGAAGTAAGGTTGTGTATGTGGAAGAAGACGATTGAGAAATAATAGAGGTTACATGAAATGGACTGACATTGTGCCTCCTGAATGACTTATGTGGGTATGTTTTATTTTTAAATTCTTTTCCCTGACTCTTTGGGAATTTTAATGAGCCCTGGATCTCAAGAACAGGGTTGAACCATACATTGAAATGGGTGAAGAAAAACCCCACAAGACTTAGGAGACTTGCATTACTTCGGAAGGTTTTATCACAGAGCCAGAAACATCCTTGAAGGAGATTACGCTTAGAACTATTTTAGATCAGTGGCTCCACAGTATAGCCAACAATAATTTGTCCTCCTTGATCACACAATTTGAATTGTTCCTTTTTCTCCTTGTGTACAGGGTCACACTTTACGCAACGTGAGAAATACACACTGGTTTGAACTAACGTCCGTACCAATGATAATTCTAGAATTCTGTTCAAATGGGATGAATAATCAATACAGGTTTTTTTTTGAGACTGCTATACTTTCTTGTTTATTTTCCTAGTTCATATTTGATTCATTTATCTCGCTCATCAAGAAGGGGAAAGATACAAGCATTCCTTCAGTGCTGCCCAAAACCTCAGCTGCAACTTCAAGAGTTGAGGTCTGTATATTACTCTGCTTTATTTTATCTTTATCTGAAATATTAGCCGTATTGATTATTGCTGTTATTATATGAACTGGATAGAAAAATTACTAGAAATATGCATAACCAACATTCCTTGCTAAAATTGTCTGACATGAAAATGATTATTTGCTCCAAATGATTATTAATATGATGGAGGTTGGAATGTATCCTTTTAGTATATAAAGCAGATATTTTATTGTTCTACTTTGTTTTATTTATAATCTATTAGATCTTAAATGACTTAGGTCATGTCTCCTTGAGGTTTAATCTGAGCCGCTGTTCATCATGGTTCTGTTTTAGAACTTGCTTTGGATGGCAAGAATTGTCTACTAGTCACAAGAAAGATTTTTGCTTATATTCCAGAATGCAGCAATCAGCCTCTTCTTACCTGGGCTCATGGAAGAAGTGTTTCCTAACTAAACAGTTCATTTTTACCATGGTGGAAACATTCTGATTTAACGAATTTTATTTGTTACTGCATTTTATCTCCCCTCCCCCCCCATCCTAAATCATTTGTACCACAGACTTAGCCATGCTGCAACCTAGCAGCCTTTTCTGGCATGAGACTCATAAAGCCTAATTTTCCAGCCTCTTAAGCA